TAGTGAGTGCATGGTCCAAAGTCACAGCGAGCTAGGCAGAGCTGATACTGGAAGTCTTTGGTCCCGAGTTACAGCCTCTTGCAGTTGTCACGCTGCCTTTTTCTGTGTATGCAATGTTAGCTGCACAGTCCTTCAGACCCTCATTTAAGTGCAAATAAAGCAAGCAGACTCTGGAGTTGACAGAGACACGCTGGGGTAGGAGAGGGGTCAGATGTTAGAAAACAACTCCTCAACACTGCACTCCATGTGTTCCTGCTTCGCTCCAAGGCAGGCCCTCACTGGGTACTGCAAGCTCTCTGCCTCCAGCCTCTGGGCACAGGAACTCCTGAGCCAAGGTGTGCCAAGGACACCTTGAGGAGAAAGAGAAACCCCACAGTTCAATTTTAGTCTGACTACTCACCTTATGCGTCCTATGTTCTCTGTAGAACTAAATCTCTATTTTAATTTACTCACTTTCTGTGTTTGCGGACCAACTTGTCCCAGTTAGAATGGAAAGTCCTGGAGGTCAGGACCTTGTTGATGATCATCTTCCCTATAGAAGCACAGCTGGCAGCCAGCACATATCAATATATATTTGTATGGATGAGTAAATAAATGTTTGGCTGGATCAGTGGACCAACAGATAAATTGATTGACAGATGTGGTTGGATGGGTAGGTGGGTGGATGGATGGATGGATGGACAGATAGGAGGGTAAGAGGGTCTGAAGGACCATGCACTCACTATTCCTGAACCTTGCTTCCTTCCCTGAGGGGTTCATGCACCCAGATTTCTGGAGGGCCATCCAGCTCTTATGTTTTGAGAACCCATGAAGCTAAATTGGGTCCAGGAACACTGGCCTCAATGTCCATGTCCTTGTGGAGTCCTTCCCTAGACTTGATCAGAGGGGCCTCCCCAGTGGAGCTGGAAGAGCTGGAAGATGAACACCTCACTGGGCATCAGTGGGACTGGTGCTTCTGAGGGGTCCTTCACGACTTCCTGTTCAGTGTCTTGCCCTCAAGTAAACTCTCGTGTTCACCCCTCTTCCCTTCTGGCCCCGGCACATAGCCACCGTCAGGCAGGCTCTTTAGCTTTTCAGTTTTCAGAGCCTGTCCCACTCCTGCCTCCACGGAGTCCCCGGGAGGGACAGTGAGGACAGTCCTCTCCACAGTCATCTGGCATGGAAGGGGAGTGCAGAGTCCCAGAGCCAGGTCTTTGGAACTCCTGCGAGCTCTAGGCTCCTTTCGTCTCTATTGCATAGTTGGAGAACAGATGCTGAGAAGGCAAAACAGCTGTGTGCCTCTTAGGTCCCAGCTGTGGGCTCAGCCATTTTGGCTTTGAACCTTGGCTTTGCCATGTGCTGACTTTTTGACCTTGAGAAGTTACTGAGCTGTTGTGATCCAGTTTCCTCACCTATGGATCATAGGGTTTCCACTCACAGGGTCTTTGTAAGAATGAAGGAGGCTGCTATGTAGTAAGTGCTCTATAAGTATGAGCTGCAGTTGTCCTTGGATCAGGACTATGGTAAGGATGTCCTGCACAGAGGAAGATTATAGAAAGGAGTTTGTAAGCTTTGATGTAATAGGTAATTTAAAATATTATTTAGCACATTCTAGTTGGCAATGTCAGGCAGAGTCCAAAGTCAGGCTTTCGAGCTAAAGATTTTCTGTACTGAAGCCTGTGTTTCAGGTGGAGTCAGCCCTCCATATCTGTGGCTTCTGTACCCTTGGATTCAACTAGCCATAGAGCAAACAAAGAAGAGTAAAGCAAAGCAGAGGGGAGAAGGAAATGTAGCCACGGAATATGTGGGAGGTAAGAACGCCCAGCCGGTGCTGCCCTTGGTGACAGGATGGTTGCACACATGGACAAGTGAGCAGAAAGCTCCATCTTCTGGTGGTACCAACACTGAGGAGAGATTGCTGGTGAGAGGACCAGATGCAGAAGCAGAGGGTGTAGCAGGAACCATTAAGCCAGGAAGAAGTGGGGTGCAGCTGCAGCAGTGTGGGGTGAAGCAAAGAGGCCAGTTATCTGTGAATGTGGAGGAATGGAGAACGGAGGGAGGGGTGTGTCTGAGAGACAGCATGGCAGGCCTGCCCCACTCCCAGCCACACTTTGTTCTGGACACCAAGATCATTGAGAACGAGTAACTGCTTTGGCTCCCCATGTGCCTGCAGTCATTCCATGTGGCCACTAGATGTCAAGAATGCATCGAGACGGGTCCAGGAAGTAAGTGGAGAAAGTCAGCACAGAGGGGGCATCAGGGCCACTCTGAGGGAACCAAAATGGGAAGAAGGCAGAGAAGAGCTCTGACAACCAAGATCCATGGAGAAAAGTTGCTGCATTTTTCACTTGTGTATTGTTTTGCAAGTTTTGGGGGTTTTTGGGACAGATGAAGGAGGGAGAAACATTTTCACATTGACCAATGTTCTTCAGAGTTTTATGAACATTTTTCTAAAGTCAGATGAATAATTTTAAAGCTCTTAAACATTCAGCGCAGATTAGGGATGGTGATGGTGGAGGTGCTGGTGGCTCCTAATGCTCCGTGTCTTTTACTGTGAAGAGGTGCTCTCAGTGCTCTGCAAAAAATTAACTCATTTAGTACTTATAGCACACCTGTGAGTGCTGCTATCATCCCTGTCCTGCAAATGAAGAATCAGAGGCTTGTGAGGCAGTGGGACCTGCTCATAGTCACACAGCTGTCAGCAGGAGTGTCAGACAGGAGTCAGCCTTGGTACCTGGGCCTAGAGTCCATATCTGTTACTGCTGTGCCTAGATGTCCCCCTAAAGCCTCATGCGGTCATAGGTGGGGCTTACCATAAAGGTGGCTGCATCCAGAGTGCGTGATGCTGGGATTGATTCATGGTGTAATGTAGGATCAAGGCCACGGTAATTAAAGGTGTGCTACCTGCCCTCAGTAGCCTGGATGAGATGTAAAGGAAGAGCTGTGGTTGTCCCTTGCCTGCTTTGCTGCCTTCTGCCCACCATGAGCTGTTTCTTCTCTGTGATGCCTGTCTGCCATGCCACCCTGCCAAGAGACCCAAACCTCTACAAAGTGTGAGCTAAATAAATCTTTCCTCCTTTAACTTTGAGTGCTGGATACTTTGTCACAATGACGAGGAAAGTAACCGAGACAAGGCGTGTGTGCTACATGTTGCCCATTGACTCCTGACCCCTGACAAAGGGAACTTGCTAAGCGATAGAGCAATGCTATGGTTTAATGGTCAGAGGCACAGAATTCCTCATCCCAAGCAGCGCACATCTTAGGACTTGCAGTCTTAGGACAGAGCCGTCCAGAAGTTCATCTCAGGCTCCCCAACTTTGAGCATCTGTTTGGGCAGGAGACATCTTTGGTGGAGGCCTTTTCTCTGGAGCCAGGGGTTCCCGGATGTTTCTGTGTGCCTTAGCACAGAAAGACAATCATAAACTCAATGTTGAAGAAGAAAAGTGCACTTCTAGTTGGGGACTCGGAGACAAAATACTGTTTCTATCAGGTTTCCTGGGCTGCCAAAAATATTCATATCTGCTGAGAAGAAAAATTAGAAAATAGTGTGATAGAATAGTAAATGTGGTATATTTAAAGTCAAAGAACTTACCTAAAAGAAATTAAAGCATATATCCACAGAAATAATTGCACAGAAACATTAATAAGAGCCAGAGGGCCAGGGATTTAGCTCAGTGGTTCCACCATCTGCCTCACAAGCATAAAGACCCGAGTTTGATCCCTGCTACCAAAACAAAACAAACAAACAAAAAATCCCCAAACAAACAAAAAACCCAGCTGTATCCATAATAGTCCCAAATTACAAATAAACCAAATAACCGTCAACATGAGAATAGACAGATTATGGTATGGTCATACAGGAGAATACTGTTCAGTCATAAAAAAATTCATGCAGTGTCTGAAGTGAATCTCTTAAAAAAATGTTTGCTGAAAGAAGACAGTCCCGAAAGAGTTTATATCATATGAGTCCATGTACATGGAGCTCTAGGACATGCTAACCAATCTGTAGGGACGGAAAACAAATCAGTGATCACCTAGGGCTGGGGCAGTGTTCAGGAATTGGCTGTAATGGGCATGAGGGCCATTTTTGGCATGATGGAAGCTCTGTATCTTGATTGTGATTTTGGCTACATGGATGCAAATGCTGGAGACTGCACTGATCTTTGGCCTCTCTGGGCCTCAATTTTCCCATTCATAAAACTATGGTTATTGGATTAAATAGCATCTAGAATTTCTCCTGGCTCAGAATTTTCCCTTTTATTATGGAAATAGCATACCAAAGTACAATTTGCTTTATAAGAATTATTTCTTATTCTAAGGATGAGTATAATCCAGAAGTGTAGAAACCTACAGAATTAGGTTATGTATTCATACTCTTTTTGCAGGGCAGAGCCATTCATAGGTCCATTCTCCTCAAGGAAATAGCTGAGAAAATGATTTGCATGTGAGAAAGCAGTGTGTTTCCCCAAAGAGTTCCCATAAGTTATGGGGGCCGCTCCCATTTGCACTGTGGGGAGAGGGGAGGGACACAGGGATTATGGCTAATAAGATCAGAGATGACAGCTGAGGGAGGCCAGGCTTGCCATGACCCTCCGGACTGCACCTGCTCTTTGTTCTTTCCTATCTACTAGCCCATGACTGACATAGGGATGTGGTGAGGAGGAGGATTGGCTCTCATGATGACAGTCGCGATGATGCTGTTCATGGTGACGAAGATAGACACGATGGTGATGATGGGGTGGTCATGGTGATGAAGATGGATGGCTGATGATGATGGTGATGGTGACGGTCATCATGATGATGGCTGTGGTAATGGTGATGATATGGTGATGATGGTTACAATGAAGCTGCTGTTGATTCCAGTCTCTAGGGAGTTTGGGCAAAAGTAAAGAAATGCAGGCATGTCATAGGAATAGGGTGGGGACAGATGGGGTTTGGAACTTGGGGCGGGGACTAGGAGCAGTAGGGTGGATCACGCTGGGTCAAACAGACTGCTGTTTCTTGCATTTGTGTGTCCCCAGGTCATGAAAACTTACCACATGTACCATGCGGAGAGCATCAGTGCAGAAAGCAAGCTAAAGGAGGCCGAGAAGCAGGAGGAGAAACAGTTCAACAAGTCAGGAGACCTCAGCATGAACCTGCTCCGGCACGAGGACCGGCCCCAGCGCCGCAGCTCTGTGAAGAAGATTGAGAAGATGAAGGAGAAGGTGAGTGGGAGCCCTGGCCTGGGAGAGACGGGAGGGAAGGCACAACAGGGAGGCTACATTCCTGGCCCCCACCCTTGACCTTCTCCCTATCCCCCAACTTATCTCTGAAGAGATTTAGGATTGCTGAGTACTGGTGCTGAATGTCTTTGAAGTAGGACGTGATGGGAGGAGTGTAGTTCTGGAGTTGTGTTCTGGGACTTGAAAATCCCCACTTAGGGCACCTCGCTGAACCTCAGTTTTCACATCCAGCAAGTTCCATCTCTCAAGTTGACGCTGATCAATTCGTTGTGCCCAGCTAGGCTCAGTTAGCACTGTGCTAGGCCTGGGTTTGATGATGTCTGCCATGGCAGGGAATGCCAAAGCCAGCACCAAGTATGTTCTGTCGCTCTAAATGAAGTGGCCTCTAAGACCCCTTTCTTGCAGAAGCCCATGGTTTTCTTACTGAATTCTCCATCTTCATTCATTCATTCTGGGAGTCACTAAATATTTGCTGATTTCCTTCTAGGGTCCAAACATTGCACCAGATGCTTATTTGGGCTCCTATAAGTCAAATTCTGTGATTGTAGGATCCATTGGATCTAAAAACTATAGGAAGTTGGGTGAGAACAAAGTCCAAGAGGACCTGCATAAACTGTAAAAGCAATTTAGAGGCAAAGAAAATAAAGTTCTAGGGTAATTCCTCTCTCTCTCTCTCTCTCCCCTCTCTCTCCCTTTCTTTCTTTCTTTCTTTCTTTCTTTCTTTCTTTCTTTCTTTCTTTCTTTCTTTCTTTCTTTCTTTCTTTCTTTCTT